GTCTAATGTTCTTCCAATAATAAGTTTCTATAACGCTTTTCATTAATCTAATATAAGCCAAATTCTGTTTCCTACAGATTACTCCAGTAACCTACCTGCTCACTTACCTGCATTTAACTATCATTTTTTTTTTTGAGAGGTTTTTGCTGCAGGGCGCTTGCACTCGCCAGAAAGACAGAAAGACAGAAAGCAAGAAATCACCCCTCCCCCAGGGAGGATGGCCATGCTGCAATCCCTTCTCCTCCATTCTCTTCTTGGTCTCGGACTAGAACCACAGTTGACTACATGGGAGTCCAGAAACATAGCCATTACGCTAACTGCTGGTCCCTCAACTTTCTTCATTTTTATATGTTCTCCCAAATATAGCTAACGTGGTTTTTTCAGTAAATAAGTCTAGGGCCAGTCCCATAACCTAGGGATTAAGGGACCTGGATCCCACATGGCTGACTATAGTTCAAATACAGGCCCCTGCAGTTTGAAAAACATGAGTGTGTGTGTCCAATATTCCAATGCGATAGAAGAATGGTGGAGAAGGGATTACGGTGTGACCATGTCCCATTGGGGGTGCTTTCTCCCTCTCCCTCCCTCTCTCTGGTGAGTTCATACACTCTCTGGGCAATTAAAAAAAAAAAGAAAGAAAGAAAAAAGACAAAACCCAAAACAACTTTGATCATGTGGCTCTTTGATTAAAACTTTTTTTTTTGGTCAGGAGTGGGGTGGGACTATAGAGATCTTGATTAGTAAAAACAATTGCAAATAGACTAGAGGGATGTGGATTAGTGGAAACAATCGCAGATAGGTAGAAGGAACAGTGTCTAGTATTATAAAATACAGTGGGTGGGGAGAGGGTGATTAACAATAACTAAATGTATACAATATTACAAATGGCTGAGATAATGAGTATAAAACTTACTAAATTTTTGTTAGGTGTTTGCCATAGGGTGCATGCCCTCTCCAGAGAGATAGAGAGAAAGAGAGAGAGAGACAGACAGTGGGAGGGAACGTGAGAAATTTTCCCCAAGGGGGCATGGTCATGCTTCAATCCCTTCTCCTCTACTCTCCTCCTGGGATTTTGGGCACACATGCACACATACCCAGTGTGTTTTTTCAAGCTGCCAGATCCAGGACTTGAAATGTAGTCAGCTATGTGGGAGTCCAGTGCCTTAACCACTATGCCAGCTGTTGGACCCCCAAATTATTAACTTTTTAAAAGTTATGATTTTTAACTGATTTTAATGTATGGTGATTGGGTTATATATCATTCAGAAAAGGTGAGCTGCCTTATTAGTGCCATGTCATTTCCCTGTCATTTACATAAAACGAATGAGGCTCATAGAATGGGGTTTGAGGGACCAGCAGATGGCATAATGGCTACATCGCTGGACTCCCATGTAGTCGACTGTGGTTCGAGTCCCAGACCTTGTGGCTTAAACTCACACTGGGCGCGTGTACATGTGTGCCCAAGATCCCGAGAGGAGAATGGAGGAGAAGGGATTGCGGTGTGGCCATCCCCCCAGGGGGTGATTTCTCGCTTTCTGTCTATCTGTCTCTCTCTGTCTTTCTGGTGAGCACACGTGCCCTATAGCAAAAACCTCTCAAAGAAAAAATGAGGTTTGAGATTTTAAAGGTTTGAAAGTGGGATGAAATTTTTCATTATCACTGTAGATATCAAAATGTCTTATTTTTATTTCTACTGCCTTTAATTGAAATAAAATGTTTGTATTTATGAAAAAAGAAATTTCAGGCTGGCCTCATAGCCTGGTGGTTAAAGGGAGCTATCTGGTCGACTACATGGTCAACCGTGATTCAAATCCTGTGACTTGAAAAACATGCCTGGTACATATGGGTATATGCCCCAAATCCCAACAGGATGGGGAAATGGAGAAGAGTGGGTTTCAGTGTGGCCATGCCCCACTGGAGGCGGGTGCTTTCTCCCTTTACTCCCTTTCTCTGTCTCTGCTGAGCATACATGCTCTCCGGCAAAACACTCACAGACACACACACACGCACACGCACTTTTTTTTTTCTGGAGGAAGTCATAACTCCTTCATGAAAATGTCGGGTGCCTGGCCTGCACGCCAGCCCCACCTCACTTCATACTCCCTCCCACTGCTTTTGTTCACCTATCAGTTACTGTCCAGGTCCTCATGCTTGCTATGCTTCCTCCCAGCAGAGGGCTTTGGCAAACACTGTTCCCTTTGCTTAGAAAGCTCTCTCTACCCTGTTTGTTTGGCTAGCCTGTATTTATCTTTAGATATCAGTTCGAGTGTACTTCTTCAGGGACACTTTTCCCAACATCCCCCCTCAGGTCCAACCTTGGCAAGGCTCTGAAAGTACTGTGCATCTCTCTTTTGTACTGTCTGTCTCGAGTATTATTTTATGCTCGCTTATGTAAGTATTTTATTAATATCTGGCTTCCCTATTTTTTAAAAGAGGTTTTTGCCTTAGGATGCATGCACTCACCAGAGAGAGGGAGACAGACAGATAGACACAGTGAGAAGGAAAGTGAGAAATCACCCCCTAGGGGGGATGGCCACACTGCAATCCCTTCTCCATTCCTCTCCTAGAATTTTGGATATGTACACATATATGCTTGGCATGAATTTCAAGTCACTGGATCCAAGACTCGAACCACGGTCAGTCATGTGAGAGTCCAGTGATATAACCACTATGCCATCTGCTGGCCCCTGTCTTCTCTATTAAATGGAAAGCACTAAGAAGAAAGAGAGCTCTCTGTGTCTTCTGTGCTTGGCATATTGCCTCCAGAACTTAGTACAATGCCTGAAACATACTAAGTGCCTTATAAATACTTGCTGAATGAATGAAAAGGCGACTCTTTAATCTGATGTAGCACACTCCAGTAGAAATCCAGGCCTATTCCCAAATTCCACATCTATTTTTAATCCTGGAAATTCTAGGATCAGGTAATACTGAAGTCTTACTGACCATCAAATGCTGCTTTTAACTTAAGAAGGTGTTTGCTTTAAAATCCTGTCTCTGGATAGATATCAGAAATCAGAACTTTAAGATAACAGCCTGTCTCAGGAACAGGTCTCTGGTGAGACAGTGCATGTAGTTGGCTCATCAGCCTGCGGCACAGACTCTAGGGACACGCTGTCCTAAGCCCCTACACATGTATTTTCCAGAGCCTGTTTTTCAGAAAGCCTCAGGAGCTGTGGCAGGAATGTACAAATCTGCTTGATGAGGAGACAGCTCAGTGGGTGGAGCTATTGTTTCAACAAGAGGAGCTCCAATTTTAACTGTTTTATACACTGGATTTCTTACTCTTACATCTGTGAAATCCTGACCAAATAAAAGTCTCTCTAAAAAACACTGCTTGAGCTTTTTTTTTTTTTTAAGTGAAAGTGGTCATAGAGAAAGAACATGAACCTTTCTTAACTTAATTGAATCCTTCTTAACTCTCAATTGAAACAGAATTGAGCCAAAACTTCTCTTCCCCTCAGCCAATGTCTTGGCTATTCTTACCAGGCTGGGATAATGAATCACACATGAGGGAGTTTCATTTGATGAATAAAATTGAACTTGGAATATAATAATAGAACTACTCTGCAAATTCCCCTCCATGGAATACAGCAAAATCCATCATGCAACCTCCTCTTCTCAACTACAGAATTGTTAGTTGAGTGTACTGGGCTTGAATCTCAATTTATTCTAAGAAACAATGTGCTGGATACCACGGATTTGTTTGTTCTACTTCTGTTCTCCCTCCTGAGAGTTGAGAGAGTTGGAAAACTAAAAACGACTTTTTGGGAGCTCTATTGCATCCAGCATTTTGGACATAACCCAGTTATTTGGATATTTGCACCAGCTAGAAGAGGTCAATGGGTGAACCTCTAAGTACTAAGACCCAGAGTGTGAATATGATGTGTCTGGGTGAATGCAAAGCAAAATGAACCTACTGAAAAAAAGGTCTCAAAAATGTAAGTAACTAGAGAATTTCTAGTGATCCATAGTAGCAAAACAATACATACTTTCCCATTTCCAAACTTTCATCAAACAATGGTAATCAAGAAAATGTAGTACTAGCACAATGACAGACATGTGAGTCAATGGGATAGAACTGAGTCCAGAAGTAAACCATACTTCCATGGTCAATTGACTTTTTTTTTTTTTGGAGAGGTTTTTGCTATAGGGCGTGTGCGCTTGCCAGCCAGACAGAGAGAGACAGAGAGACAGAAAGCGAGAAATCACCCCCCAGGGGGGATGGCCATGCCGCAATCCCTTCTCCTCCAGTCTCCTCTAGGGATCTTGGGCACACATGCACATGCACCCGGCGTGAGTTTTAAGCCACCAGGTTCAGGGCGTGAACCATGGTCGACTACGTGGGAGTCCAGCAACATAGCCATTACACTAACTGCTGGTCCCCATGGTCAATTGACTTTTAACAAGAGCACCGAGATCATTCAATAGGGATAGAATCATCTTGTCAACAAATGGTACTGGGGCAACTAAAGAGCCATGTCAGAAAAATGAGGTTGAACCATGACCTTATGCCACTCAGGAATGGATACCAAGAGACCATTTTTGGTCTTTCCATTGGGGGCAGTGACTAAAAGTCTTAATTTCCTCAGCAAAAATATTCTTCTAACATAGCTTATTTTTCAGGGACTTAACCTTCATATTTGAGGAAAGACTAAGGCAAAACAGCTTCATTTCTACTGTGTAAAAATGCTTATTTTCTTCTTAAAGAAGGGAACAATCTGTCAGCATAATAGAATGAAGGCTTTGCATTCAGATACACTAGAATGGGAATCCTGACTCAGGTAAGACAGCCCAGGAGACCCCAGCAATGGCTAAAGCATCTGCACCTTGATTTCCTGGGCTGGGAAATGGGATGAATAAGTGCAACCCCCTGGAGTTGTTCTGAGAATTAGATCAAATGAGAGGCTAGTGTGAGACCTCTGCAGAGCAGAGTCCCGTTCTGTGAGGGCGGTTTAAGGGAGAGAAGGGCAAAGGGAAAGACACACCATGGAACTCACTTTCCCACCAGGGAGTGAATCTTTGCGACATGCTCCAGTCCGAGTGGCTCCCAGCCGAGGTCATCCTCACCCTCCCATAATAATGTTCCTGTATGTCTGAGGTCTCATTGGTGAGGTCACAAAAGAGTTCTCGAATACCCCAGCAGTCGTCTTTATTTTTCCATTGTTTCTGCCCGTACCTGTAGAAAGGAAAAGTCGAAGAGATGAATTTCTCTCCCCCATTGAGGGAGCATTCTCCTTTTCAATCTATTAACTTTTTAGACAGGTTGAAACTCATCCTCAAATATCAGCACCAGTGTGAAAGTTTATGGCGACACTTAAGTAGCTTTCTCAAAAAAAAAAGCCTTCTTATTAACCGGCGTGTGATCTTGCTGAAAGATAAATTCACCCCGACACCTTCTTTCTCATTGACATAAGAATTTTTTTTTTTTTTTATATTTGGCAAAGTGTTTCTTCCGGTGTAGAGACCAATTTTCATGTTTGAATACTGGCTCTCCACATCCTTAATGCTTCTGGAGTTTCAACTCTGTGGTTTCTCTCCACTTCTCATCAGCTTGCTGTTGAGTCATGTGGCCAGTTCTGAGAAGTTGCTGCCACTTTTTGTCTCGGGTGGTGCTTACCCAACACACATGGCTAATCTCTTATGGAAAATTGAGCGGAAGTTGTAGTGAGGGCAATTACTAGGGGCTGGGAGAGAGGGAGGGAAACCCATGAATGAAAGTATCAGGCAAAGAGGCAGATAAGCTGACTCAGCCTGAGAGCATAGAATGGTGTCATTAATTACACCCTTAGTATTTCACTCCTGACCTACTTACTCTAAATTGGAGTAGGTGCAATAGGCAATGGTGGGGAACAGAGCAGGAATTAGAGGCTAGGGAGAGAGGTTTCCCAAATCATTTGTTGAAGGACTTGAAACCTCATGTTCTAGCCACACAGTAAGGAACATTGCAGGAACCAGTACTGTGTAATTTCTATGAAAGCAGTTTCATTATATCAGAATGAAAACAGAACTCACCACATATACTGAGCACAATTTCACATTTTTAAAAATTATCGTTTATGGATGAAACATTGTCTTTGCTAGCTGAATTTAGTCATAATGACTGCTTCTCTTTTAATGTGATATCTCATTTTCTTTTGTCCTAATCCAAATGGAACAGATGCATATTAGGAGTTCACCCACACGAACTGGATACAAAGTGAAAGATGTCAATATTATAAATTCTGCACTGTGCTGTTGAAAATACCACGGAGATAGGGATGGATGGGTCTAGCTATTCTCAAGTCTAGAATTTACACAAGTGTAGCAACGTTCTTTAAGAAAAAGAATTATAAATATAAATGTTTTTCATAAGGTCCTGAAGTTTAATTTTCATTAGCATTATGATAAAAGAGCATCTAACCCACTTATTACTTTGCACCACAAGTAGGATCACTTTGGACCTATATTGCTTACAGGGATATATGAAAAGATCACCAACCTCAACTTCTTATATGCTGGCGGCATCTCCAGCTATGCAGAAACCTGTTTTTGTGATGGAGAAACCTTCATTGTAAGCATTTGTAAATGTTATAGTTACTACCCAAAATATGTAGAGAAAAGAAGCAGCATTTAAAGAGCAGAAAGTAGGCCAGGTGGTGGCACGGTGCTTAAGATTGCTGGATCGCACATGACTGGCAGCATGGTTAGGGGCCTGGACCTAGAAACTTGAGAAACATGCTGTGTGTGTGTGTGTGTGTGTGTGTGTGTGTGTGTGTGAGAATCCAAAATCACAAAAGGAGGAAGAGATGGAAAGACATGTGCTGTGTGTGTGTGTGTGTGTGTGTGTGTGTGTGTGTGTGTGACCAAAATGCTGAGAGGAGGGAGAAATGGAGGAGAAGAGATTACGGTATTACCATTCCCCATGGGGGATGCTTTCTCATCTTCTTTCTCTGGCAACTACACATACTCTCTGTCAAAAATTAAAACAAATTTGTAGAGATATTCCTTTCCATATTAGTTACTAGGAATAGCTGACCTAACTATGAATTCATGGAATAAATATTGCTGTTATGGCCCCTATCTGCCTCTGGTGTCCTGAAATCCTAAGGAAACCATGAAAGCCAAACTGTAGTATCTCCTCTCATGCTTAGTCACTCTCTCAGATGACATCAGAGGTGGCCAAGCCTCCAGAAGCCCCGAGCAATGCATGGGTGGAAAAAACCTGCCATTTTCAAATCAGAGTGTCTTTTTCTAGGCCTCAATCCAGGAAACGAGATGACTGGATCTGAGTTTGGGCAACAACCTAGCAGCACTAGCCTGGAGATCACGCAATACGAACCTGGAGCAACACATCCAGTTCGTGTCCGTGTTTACAAAGAGCATTAATTTTTAAAAGAATTTTCTAAATAATAAACCTACTCTTAACAAATGACTTTTAAATCAGAAATCTATTTTACGGGCTCCGTTCCATGTGTGCCACAGGTCTTTTTCCGCGGTCAGCAGTTTCACCTCGGTCGAGCACTCGCTGTCTGCTAAACAAGTCTCTTCCAAGCATTCACTTGACGAACGTGTATTTAGCCTTTTATGGCTGGGGGCTGCTGCAGAGTCAAAGGCTCAGCCTGCAGGTCTCAGTGCTGGGTCTCCTCGAGCTGCAGTAGCTGCCCAGTGGACTGCACCCATTATGTATTTTGCATCCCCAGGCAACTGTCAGGAGACAAGTCGCTTTGTCCCTACCACTTCACAACTCCTATGACACTAAAAGATGCTCACATCTGAACACTCCACTGCATTCTAGAATGCAATGGCTCCGTGGCCATTTCTATCAGCTGGAGGGAGCTCAACTTACTTACATTTTGTACTGCACAAAATAGAGACTTCTGTTGGTGGAAAGTGCCCTTCCGGGTTGCCAGTGCAGAATGTTGTAGAAATTTTGAGACTGAAATTGTACCCTCTGAGGCTTCAGAGCTTCCCGAGCTGGCTGAGTTCCTAAAATAATAAGAGAAGGAAAAACATCGGACGTGAGCACTGTTGTTATTAGCAGTGGTTTTCAATATAGTACCTGTATCAGGGCTCTCCCCAAGTGGTTGCTCTGCGTGCAGGCAATGGAAGGGCAGCCCAGGAACCTACATTTGAAATCTTCGCAGTAATGATGTTGATGCATGCTAAAGTTGCAGAATGATGTGTTCCAGACTTTGAAAACATGTGATCTCTTCCCACCCTATTCCCAAGCCATGGAGGAGGTAAATTGCAGTGATAAACTCTTATCTAAAGTGTCTTCCCAGATAGTGAAAGTATATAATGACTATGATAAATGACCAACATTAAGGCCACTAACCCCTGCCTTCCCAGGAGCCAGCTTATAACTACGTTGAAGCAAAATTTGCTGAGATGAATTCAAGCTCCGGGACCTCAGCCCAGCACTCTCAGTTCCTTGTCTCTCAGGTTCTCGCTCCATCTCTGGGTCCTGCCTCCCAGGTAGGCCCACCTCTGCCATCCCATTCCTGAATAGCCATCATTACCTGCCCACGCTGTGGCTCTAGGTACCCATGCAGAATTGCTGAGATGAACTGGCCCATTTTAACAAGGGAAAGTACCCAAGACCGCCATGGGGCATGGCATTTCCAGGAGTGATCCTGGCAGGAGAGGGGATATCTTGCACTGGCATGTCTTACGCTTTCTTCAACTCATGTGATGTGGGTGGCCCACCCACATCTTCATCTAGTCACATGGAAGCAAGAGACCTTTAACAAGATTTTATTCCAGGGTCCAAAGTTTGTGATAAAGGACAAGAAGGTGTGCAGAAGAAGATGGAGTCGGGAAGCTTAGCCTCTGTTTTCTCCCTGACCTCGACTTCTACCACGCCCCGGCTCCTTCTCCACCATTGTCTCCTTTCTCCTACTCCATCACTCCAGGAACAACTCAGTTTAGGGTCTCTGTCCTTCCCTTTTCCTTTAGCATTCTTTGCCTGGATTTCCGCATCGCTTCATTTCTCCATCTCCTTCAAATTTTTGATCAAATATCACCTTATTGAGGTGGAAGAAAAACATCCCAAGCCATTGTTTTGTCTCGAACCTTTCAACATTTGTTACTTTCTAATGAATGGAGCTGTTTTCTCAGATCCTTATTCTTGCCAATCTGATCGTGTTAATACCATTCGTTTTTCTTCTGAACTTTTGGACCTCCTTCAGTGCGTCCGACCGTAGCGTGTACTTGGAACGAGCATTGCCCAGTTGATGTTCACCACCATCGCTACCTGAGGGATCGTACATAGCACAGACAAATCCCAGGAGTCCTTGGGAATGAAGTTCTCATGACTTCCTGAAGCTCTGCCTCAGTGCAGCTGCTAACCTGGAGCTGAATGGCTCCATGCCCTTTACCGCTTCTGTGCGCAGAGTTCTCGCATTTTCTAACAACTCCACTGCTACCATCACCAATTCTCTGTCCCACGTGCAAAGGGACTTTTCTCTGCATTGACTCATTTAATTTGACTCGCTCTTCTAAGAAGAGGGTGTTACTATGGTCTTTCTCTTACAGACTGAAAAATGAAGTAACGAAGAAGTGAAAGAACTTGTCCAGCAACACACAGTGACACGGATCTTGTTACCAGGCAGCCTGTGCCTGTCTCTTTTTTAAGAGGGTTTTGCCATAGGGCATACACACTCGCTGGAGACAGAGGGACAGAGACGATGAGGGGGGAAAAGAAATCACTCCCCAGGGGGAATGGCCGCGCTGCAGTCCCTTCTCCTTCATTCTTCTCCTGGAATCTTGGGCACGCATGCACATGCACCTGGCATGATTTTCAAGCCACTGGGTCTGGAACTTGAACTGTGGTCAGCTATGTGGGAGTCCAGTGGTTTAACCACTCTGCCATCTGCTGGCCCCAAGCTTGTCTCTTATTTACAACAGAACCAAGAGCAAAGCCTCGGAAGAGAGGGGGTAACCGAGAGAGGCTGTGGGCATTCTCTCTCCTCTTTCTTCCAGTTTGTGTTGATTGAACAATGAACATATACAACAGTAATCATGTACCAGGCACTGTGCTCAAAGCTCTACAACTTATTTAATTCCCACCACCACCAGATAAGAAGGTATTTTTGCTACTACATGTGGAAGCTGAGGTTTAATGAAGTTGTGTAACTTGCCCAAGGTTACAGGTCTGGTAAGGTGCTGAGCCAGGCATTTCAGTAGTACTTGATTTCCTGATTTTTTTTTTTCTTAATTAGTCCTTGTTCTTACCAAGAACTAGAGACATAGTCTACATAAACCCATACATTTCTGGAAGATAGAGTCTTGAATTGCTTCCGTGTATCAGTCACCAGACAGCTGGATCGTGTGGGGAAGGCACTTGAGCTACTTAACATGGAGAGGTACATGCCTGATACCTGGAGGCTCTCACAGTCTTGCTCACAATATGTTTCAGTGATAAGATGCTCCACATGCTTGAGGGGTGCTCCATGAATGCCAACAGTAAATTTTCACATGCCGAATTCTCCCATGGCCCCTGCTCTGTGCCAAGCACTGCTCTGAGCACTCAGCATATATGAACTCATTTCATGTTTACTATGACCTATAATCCCATTCTACAGATGAGGAAATCGAGTCACAGGGGTGTTAAGTAAATTGTGCAAGATTCCCTACATAGTAAATGGCAGAATTGAAATCCAGACTCTGACAGGCTGCCTTAAGAGCCTGGACTTGTGACCACTATGCCATAGTGTCCCTTCAAGGCAAAAGGCATTCTAAGGAGCAAACGAGAAAGAGATGGACACACATCTGTCTTGTATGAAGCTTCTTGCATGCAATTCAGAGCCTTCTCTGTGGTAGGTACTCGGTAAGTGTGCGTGGGGTTGTTCAGGCTGCAGAGAGACACTGACCCTATAGCACCAATCAATTAGGGACATAAGAAAGTGGAGTTTTTCACAAAGCCCAGACAAGTGCCAGCGCCTTATCTGATAGTCTCTTGACCAGACTCAAACAACAAAGTGGTGGCCAATAAAAAAGAAATGAAGCACTTACCTATGACACCAGTCAGGAGGAAAGTGACGAGGAAGCCTAGAAAGCAGCGTTTAGGCATCATGGTCTCCACTGTGACTGGTCAGACAACCAGTGTTCCCTGCGAGGAGAGGACAGCACAGGACAGAAACGGGAACTGTGAAATCCTCAAGCCAAACATCTCAGGTGGCTGAACCAAGCAAATGGTTCCTTAAAGCAACCATAAGTTCATTTTGTTACCACATTATACTCTTGTCCTGTTTTAGAAGATGGATAAAAACAGAAGAATCATTTGAAAACCCATTTTCTGTAAGCTATTTTGTACGAACGCTTGTTTTTGCTGGCAAGCTTGTTTTTCTTGGGACTTCATTACCTGTGGAAAGGCAAATGCTGAGGATGGGCAGGCCCAGAGGCCAGGGCAGGGCAGGGTGGGGACTGTGCAAGTTGCACGCAAATGAGTGAATGCAGCAACTCATGGGGCCTTAAAGGAATCTGGCCCCAGGAGACTGAGCTGTCAGGGACTGGGGCTTGGCTGACAGGGTACTCTGAGTGATGTGCTTGGCAGTCACAGCTGTCAGGCTCTTGGCAGTGGTTCAAACAGGTGGGGTCTCTTGTTCATTCTTTTCTCACCATTTTTTAAAAAAATTTTCAGAGGGTGTGTGCACTTACTGGAGAAGACTGAGCTAGAGAGAGAGAAAGTGAGAAAGCACTCCCCATGGGGAATGGTCATGCCACAATCCCTTTTCTATTTCTCCCATTTTGGGATTTGGGACACACATGAACATGTGCCTACTGTGTTTCTCAAGCCACTGGGTCAAGGACTTAAACCACATAGTTGGCCATGTGGGATCCAGTCACCTTAACCATCACGCCACCAGCTGGCCTCTTTATTCCTCTTCAGTAGCTTCCCAGTTAACCTCCCTGGTATGCCCCATGCCTGCCCACGCAAGCAGCTCTCCACGGTGGTCCCTGCCAGACTCTCTGGCCTTCCCTAGTCCGTGGTGCCCTGGGCCCCTCTCAGAGTCTCTTCCTTTTCCATTCCAACTCCAGGTTTCCAGCAATCTTGGTAAAAATTTTGAGCCCATCAAACCAAATGATATCTTAAAATGATGAACATAGAGGACAATTATTTTGAGCTACATTCGTTTTTTTTTTTCATATCATTGAAATCTCATTGAACTAGATCATCTGCTCTTTGTCCATGACTTGTTTTATTATCTTACCAATTTTTTTGTACCAAATGTTTTTAGAGGCATTGCAGTGATATATTTCTTAATAAAACATTGCATTTACTTAGAATCATTCAGTATGTGAACAAAACAGCTGCAACTTTTTTTTTTAATTACAGAGTGGTATTCAGTTAATGGAACAATTATTTCATATAAGCTGCATCAGAGACAACTGAAGATGAAAAAACTACCATCCCCATATATAACTAATTTGTGCTGTGCACCAACAAGAACCTGCTTTAAATTTCCATGCCAATTTACAACCCCCATACTGGACCAGGCAAGGTTAGTGGCTATTGAAAATACCACCAGGACAGGGCTATCTAAAGACACATTCGGTAGTGTGTTAACTGTACAAAAAAAGAAACTGTGCAGTTTGAAAACAAATCTTACACAGCCTTACATTTCAATTTTTTTCTTTATAAGGAGTGAGTTGTATAGGAGGGTTAAATACTTTACAGACAAGGAAAAAAACTGCGCTAGAACCAACCTATTCATCATCATCTTCATCTTCTTCATCTCCTTCCTCATCTTCTTCATCTTTCTCATCTTCCTCCTCCTCTTGCTTTTTCTTGCTCTTTTCAGCCTTGACAACTCCCTTTTTTGCTGCATCAGGCTTTCCTTTAGCTCAGTATGCAACAATATCCTTTTCGTATTTTTCCTTCAGCTTAGCAGCCTTCTTTTCATAAGGCTACCATCTGCAGCAATGTCATTTCGCATCACTTCCAGTTTCTTTGCAACATCACCAATGGATAAGCCAGGATGGTCTCCTTTGATTTTTGGGCGATACTCAGAAGAGAACAAGAAAAAGGCCGAAGGAGGCCTCTTGGGTGCATTGGGATCCTTGGACTTCTTTTTTGTTTCCCCTTTAGGGGGGATATAAGTTTTCATTTCTCTTTCATAACGGGCCTTGTCCGCCTTTGCCACATCTCCAAACTTTCCTTTCTCTTTAGCAGACATGGTCTTCCACCTCTCTGAGCACTTCTTAGAGAACTCTGAGAAGTTGACTGAAGCATCTGGGTGCTTCTTCTTGTGCTCCTCCTGGCAAGTTTTCACAAAGAATGCATATGATGACATTTTGCCTCTCGGCTTCTTAGGATCTCCTTTGCCCGTGTTTAGTTATCTTTCCTCCGCAAGGCACAGAGTCACCCAGTGCCCGTCCGGCTCTCACTTGCACTGGCACTTTCTCTACGGAGCTCAATGTACTGCAATGGCTGTCACAATTATATATTAAAGCAAATAAGAGTCATAAACTTTTCAACTATCATAAAGAGAGAGAGAGAGAGAGAGAGAGAGAGAAAGAGAGGGAGAGAGAGAGAGAAAGGCCCTATAGGTCAAAAGAGGAAACATATTCTGGCTTCTTTACCCTTTTGTGTAGTCTCTCTCAAGTTCTTGGTTAAATACTCCCTTTAGTAAGACATAGTAATGGCTGTTGGGCAATACTCATTCACTTATTCAGTAACATTCAACTTGCTGCCCTACCATGAGCTAGGCACTGTTCTCAGCAGCAAGGATCCAGCAGCAAGCCAGACATGGTCCTTGCCCCTGCCTTTCTGAAGCTTACTTGTTGAGAAGGAAGTAGACAGCAGAGAACTATGGCCAAGTTGTGACTTCTGTTCATCTCTCCTCCTCTGGCTCTTTCTTCTCCTTCTTTAATGGGAGACACAAAGTTTTAGAAGCCAGCTTTAAAGCCACTTCCTTCCTCTCAATACTACCACAAAGATTAGCCAAGACGAGGGTTGTATGAAGGGAAGCAGAAAAAATGGGAGAGCTAAAAGGGCAGGGATGAACACTGCCGATGTGAAAGAGAAGGGAAGGAGGACCTTCTGTATGAAGAAAGAAGCAGAGGGGATGTTGTTCTCAAATGCAGATCTGCATCACCAGCCCATGACATAGCACCTGTAGACAACAATTCCAGACACTGCTCTACTTCGTGTCAGGCACGAAATGCTGGCTTCAAATTCATTCTTCCCTACTTTCCCCCCTCTACTCCCATCCTCATCCCCTCACCTCAGCAAGCGGCATCCACCTCAGTGGTAACAAGGAAACTACCATAGTGCTGGGTCTGGACAGAATGTCCAAACAGGCCTTGGCCAGACTTGCTTCGCTTCTTTTCTGCTTGTGGGCTTCCAGCAGATTGACACTCTAAGTAAGACATCATTATTATTTGCTTTTAGGTGTAATATAAAATTTTGGTTATTGTTTTTCTTTTATTTATTTATTTATTTATTTTAGAGAAAGGTTTTGGCTATAGGGCATATGCACTTGCCACAGAGAAATAGAAAGCAAGAAATCACCTTCCTGGGGTATGGCCACACCACAATCCCTTCTCCATTCTCCTCTCAGGATCTTGGGCATGAACACACATGTGCCTAGTGTGAGTTTAAACCACTGGGTCCAGGACTTGAACTGCAATTGGCTACATGGGAGTCCAGCGATATAACCATTACACCAGCTCCTGGTCTCTATTACTTTTATGTTTTAAAGAGATACTTCTTGGAGTATTCCAGAATAAGTGGCATAATGTCTGGGATTTGCCTCAAAATAATGCTAGGGATTGGGGAAGGGGATTAAGGTTAGTGGCTATTGAAAATACCACCAGGACAGGGCTATCTAAAGACACATTCGGTAGTGTGTTAACTGTACAAAAAAAGACACTGTGCAGTTTGAAAACAAATCTTACACAGCCTTACATTTCAATTTTTTTCTTTATAAGGAGTGAGTTGTATAGGAGGGTTAAATACTTTACAGACAAGGAAAAAAACTGCGCTAGAACCAACCTATTCATCATCATCTTCATCTTCTTCATCTCCTTCCTCATCTTCTTCATCTTTCTCATCTTCCTCCTCCTCTTGCTTTTTCTTGCTCTTTTCAGCCTTGACAACTCCCTTTTTTGCTGCATCAGGCTTTCCTTTAGCTCAGTATGCAACAATATCCTTTTCGTATTTTTCCTTCAGCTTAGCAGCCTTCTTTTCATAAGGCTACCATCTGCAGCAATGTCATTTCGCATCACTTCCAGTTTCTTTGCAACATCACCAATGGATAAGCCAGGATGGTCTCCTTTGATTTTTGGGCGATACTCAGAAGAGAACAAGAAAAAGGCCGAAGGAGGCCTCTTGGGTACATTGGGCTCCTTGAACTTCTTTTTTTGTTTCCCCTTTAGGGGGGATATAGGTTTTCATTTCTCTTTCATAACGGGCCTTGTCCGCCTTTGCCACATCTCCAAACTTTCCTTTCTCTGAGCACTTCTTAGAGAACTCTGAGAAGTTGACTGAAGCATCTGGGTGCTTCTTCTTGTGCTCCTCCTGGCAAGTTTTCACAAAGAATGCATATGATGACATTTTGCCTCTCGGCTTCTTAGGATCTCCTTTGCCCGTGTTTAGTTATCTTTCCTCCGCAAGGCACAGAGTCACCCAGTGCCCGTCCGGCTCTCACTTGCACTGGCACTTTCTCTACGGAGCTCAATGTACTGCAATGGCTGTCACAATTATATATTAAAGCAAATAAGAGTCATAAACTTTTTGTGTAGGATAAAGAGAGAGAGAGAGAGAGAAAGAGAGGGAGAGAGAGAGAGAAAGGCCCTATAGGTCAAAAGAGGAAACATATTCTGGCTTCTTTACCCTTTTGTGTAGTCTCTCTCAAGTTCTTGGTTAAATACTCCCTTTAGTAAGACATAGTAATGGCTGTTGGGCAATACTCATTCACTTATTCAGTAACATTCAACTTGCTGCCCTACCATGAGCTAGGCACTGTTCTCAGCAGCAAGGATCCAGCAGCAAGCCAGACATGGTCCTTGCCCCTGCCTTTCTGAAGCTTACTTGTTGAGAAGGAAGTAGACAGCAGAGAACTATGGCCA